ACCACATCAGAGAACACGCATGATGCAGAACCTGCACAGATCCTCCTGCCATCTCCCTGCTTATCTATATATCTGCTTGTTGCAAGAACTGCTGAATTATTCCCCTGTAAATAAGTTCTTTATGTCTGCAATTGTTGCCTGTCAGCTCCACCCCTGCCAGAAGCCCGATTTGTGGGCATTCCTACAGTGTAGTTCAAGTAGAGCTCTTTTGTTACTATCCCCTTTGCTGTAACTGCATGATGGACATGCTTGTCAAGCCCTACTGACACACATCTAGCTATAGAGGCGCTCCACATAGTGGATTCGGTCAGTACACAGTGCTTGTTGAATTTGTTAAAAAGCAAAACAGGAGACTTGTGCAGGCCTGCCCCCCCCCCCTGGAATAAGTAGCATTGGTGCTGTCCTAATGTGGAGGTCTGGCAGACCTCCTTCTTTTGTGCACGCACCATTCTTTCTCACTTTTATGTGTTTTTATGTTTTCATGGAAGTCACTCTCACACGCCTCTTCCCTCTGTATGTGCTGTGGGGCACTGGTCCCAGGCAAGTGTCTGGTGCAAAGACGAGCACTGTCAATCAGTGCTAATTAATTATTCATCTCTTACAAAGCAGCGGAATCTGACAGAAGTGGAGAGAGCTAGCTCTGGAGCTACAGCACCTATAAAATGGGATAAAGTGCTGCATGCACTTTGTCCCCTGAGGGGTAGGATGGATAAAATATGTTTATGGTTAAAAGTCTTCTTTAAATGTGTTGTTCTTGTGGAAGGGGAAAGGGATATAAAGGTAAAAAGTGACAGGGATCATGGAGTTGAGTTTTAATGCACACGTTATTTTTTTGATCATGACAGTAAGAACTGCATAGTTATGGGGCAAAGCTAGCAGTTATTATTTCACACACTTTCATGAACAAGTATAATCTATGAAACTCTTTGCCTCTCTAAGTCACAGAAAGTCAAGCTGATTTATTCTTTACATCCAATTGTTTATGTATTCATTGGTTTTGTTATATTTTTTATTTTTCAAAGAAATCTTGACGCGGCCATGTTGTGAAATTTAAACTGGAAAAGAATAGAGTAATTACTTATCTCTCCTGCTGCCTGCACTCCTGAACACCCCCGCCATTCCATTGCTGAGAAATCGCCCCCCACAGTCTACTGGGAAACTGACATTTGCATGATTCCTTAGCAATGGATCAATATTTTCGTGGAGCAGGTAGTAAGAGAGGTAAGTACGTATATACTCTGTGCTGTTACGTTGATGTGTATTTTTTCCACAGCAAAACACTTTATCTTGATTTCTTTAACACACGAGCTGCAGTATGCTATGATGCATTGTAGAGCATAGCAGGGCGCTGGCCTACTTTTAAATGCAGCCTGTTCCATTCTGGCATATAAATTATTAATGGTTGGCATAACGGGAGACACGGCATGGGTGTGTCCACAATGTGTGCCTCTTTTTCATCTAAGAAATGTAGGAGATATGAACACATTGGTGTGAACTGGGCCTATTAGAAACAATGGATTTCAGCTTGTCATTGTGTTTGGCCTACACTTCAGCCTAAAGGTGCCTATACACTTTACAACCATCGCAAGACCTTAGTCTTGCGATGGTTGTAAAGTAATTTAAAAAACGTACGATCTGCCCATCTTGGACAGGCAGATCGTACTTGCGATCATCGGAAGCCCGCCCCCCCTGAGGGGCGGGCTTCCGATGACCGCAATGCTGAACGGGCAGTGTGCGCGTGCGCACATCGGCCCGGTCGGCATTTGTCTCCCGAGCATCATTCAAACCAGCCGAAAATCGTAAGATTTTTGGCTGGTTTTCTAGCGTGCTCCTTAGACAAAAGACGCGTGACCGTACAGTAGAAACGGTTGCACCCTTCATTCACACTGCCCAATTCTCGTACGATCGCGGGATTTCCCGCTATTCTCGTAAGAGAATCGTGCAGTGTATGGGCACCTTAACACATGTGGTGTAAATGGGCTTCTACAGAAAACTTTATTAAATATAACTCCAGCTGCCTATTAAATCCACATCTACCAATCATTCTGACATGGGGATTTCAGTAAAGGGTACATTTCTTTATGCATTTTTTTTATTATACACTCAGTTTGAATTTGCTCAGATTTGCAACAGGTTATTTTAAAGCTTCACTCCCAATCTTCTCAGATTCTGCTCCGAATTGACCATGCTCTGACAACCTGTCCAGTTCTAATTAACAAGCAGTAAAGTCACCAAATTATCTACTCTGTGTGGCAGGAACACTTTGCTCACTAGGCTGGTCAAATAGAAACTCAAATCTATTGGCAGGTAGAACACTTTACATATATGTATTGCAATTGTGCATTTTATTGTTATGTGTTACACTTTATGGACCACTAGAGCTGGTAAATGTGAAGCTTTTGTTTTGTACTTATGCAAAGCTGCCATTATAGAACTAATAACTGGTTTTAATCAGAACCTTCCATCCAGTGTGCTGACCTGCTCCTGTTTATGGCTGTAACTATACTTATGGAAACCCACTTGACTGTTGAAATGCAAAAAAACAGCAACATGGTCTAGTATACTATTTACCAACCTAGTAAGTGGTACTATAATGATTTAGCTAGGTTCAAACTTCGATATTACACATCTACTGCATAAAATTAATCTCTATATAGGTGAGACTTCTGTAAAATATGTAAAGGTATCATTTAACATGTAGCAACACTCCAGGGA